GGTGGGGAGGGAGACGGTGGGAGGGGACGATGGGAGGGAGACGATGGGAGGGAGACGATGGAGGGGAGACGGTGGGAGGGCGGGAGACGATGGAGGGAGACGGTGGGAGGGAGACGATGGGAGGGAGGGAGACGATGGGAGGGAGACGATGGGAGGGAGACGGAGGGTGGGAGACGGAGGGTGGGAGACGGAGGGTGGGAGACGGAGGGAGGGAGACGGAGGGAGATGATGGGAGGGAATTGCAGGGCTAATGCACAAACACTTTGTTGAAGCTTGCCTGAGGGACACCAAGGTGGGTGAGATGTATCCATGAGGACGTGGGTTCCATCCAGACCTCTTGCCCACCTGTATATTTGGAGTGTGCGTGTTCTCCCCGTGGTCATGTGGAATTTTTCTCCCGGTCCTCCGGTTGCTCCCTCCACGTTTAGAATCGACGTGCGTTTAGACCATTGGACTGCTATACATTGCCACATCCATAATAAAGCTATTATGGCTTCAGATCGCGTAAAGCCTCCGTGTTAAACAATTCCACGTGATAAGCCACTTAGCTGGGCTGCCGTTTGTGGCCAGGGCGCTTCTGAAAAGAGCCGTGCGGCCCAGTGGGCCCTTGTCGTTTGTAGAATGCGATGAAGTCGTCCTTCCTCGGGTCTGTTTGTTGGCCGCCCGTCCCCCAGAACGACTTGGAAACGAGCAAAGTAGCGAACATCACGGCCGCGGTGAACAAGACGGAGGTAGGCGCGGCGAAGCCACTGAGTGCGGCGCTGGACGACTCGGAGGTCAAGAAGGTCATGGACGATTACAAGAAGCTGCAGTCGGACGTTCAGAAACTGCGCGAGGAGAACCGGAGGCTCGTGGTAAAGACGCACACGGGGACGATATATGAGAGTGCGCAACGATGGGCCCGTAGCGTAGCAGACACCTCGGAGCGCTGGGATAGATGCACGGGGGACACGGGAGGGACCGGGCAAGGGAAGGAGGGGAAAGGAAAGGGGTTGGCTCGCTCACCCACCCACCCACCTCGCCCGCTTGCACACACCTTACCTATTCACTCGCCCACCCACTCACTCGCACATCTGTTAATTCTCCCACTCACTCGCTTACCCACACACCTACCTGTTCACTCACATACTCACTCACCCACAGACCTACCTGTCAATCACCTACCCACTCACCTACCCACCCACTCGCACATCTGTTAATTCTCCCACTCACTCGCTTACCCACACACCTACTTGTTCACTCACATACTCACTCGCTTACCCACACACCTACCTATTAACTCACTCACATACTCACCCACACCTACCTGTTTCTTCCTAAGAGGCATCGTCTTGTTGCGTTTGCGCGCAATTTGTTGCCGCAACGTGGCGCCGATAATCCCCAGTGCGCATTTCAAAATTTCTCCTGCACGGTATCCACGCCGCAGTCTGCATCACTCCCCCCCCCCTTACTCACCCTTCCCTGCCACAAAAAAGAAGTTGGGGGGACAAGGGGGGGTGGAAGGGGGGCGGGGGAGGGGCCGTGTCACCTCGCGGCGCCCGCCTACCGTGTCCGAGCGCGAGCCTGACCGCGGTTCCGCACATCCCTCTCCCTCTCTCTCCTCTCTCCCCTCTCTCTTCCCCTCTCTCCTCTCCCCCTCTCTCTCTCCTCTCTCCCCTCTCTCTCCTCTCTCCCCATCTCCCCCTCTCCCCATCTCCCCCTCTCCCCATCTCCCTCCCCTCTCTCCCCCTCTCTCTCTTCTCTCTCTGCCCTCTCTCCTCTCCCCCTCTCCCCCTCTCTCTCCCCATCTCCCTCCCCTCTCTCCCCCTCTCTCTCTTCTCTCTCTCCCCTCTCTCCCCTCTCTCCCCCTCTCCCCCCTCCCCCTCCCTCTCCCCCTCCCTCTCCCCCTCTCCCCATCTCCCACCCTCTCTCCCCCCCTCTCTCTCCCCCTCTCTCTCCTCTCTCTCCTCTCTGGACAGGACGAAGACGGCGTCCGACTGCGCCACGGGGCCCAAGTGGACAGCAGCGGCATGAGTGCGATGCCCAAGCAGCTCTCGATGAAGGAGGGCACCGCCAGCGCCTTCCCCTCTCTGGCTGTCGTCATCGCCGCCATCTTCCTGGGCTTTTTCTTGGGTAAATTTATCCTGTAGGGGAAGGAGGGTGGAATCATACAACTACCATCCCCCCCCCTCTCACTCCTCCCTCTCCCACCCCACCCACCACTTCCCCATCCCACACCTGAATGCTGCAGTCTGATGATGATGATAATAATAACTCCCCATTACTCAACTATAATTGCGCATCATATCCAGTTCTTGCCTTTTAAATAGATCTGACGTGTCACACGTTACGGACCCCAGGATTTGCGGGAGTTTTTTTTACGTGCACGGGTGAGCGGATGGGACGGGGGGAGCGAGCGAGCATTTTGTGAGGCGGCCTCTGGTTGATGTCGTGGGCAGCAGCAGAAGAAGATAAATCTTGTCGTTTAAAAAAACTAAAAAACACCACCCTATAAACGTACGAAGGGAAAACCCCCTTCTTGACGGAACTGGCGGGCTGGGTCTGGCGGATGCGAACCACCGAGGCGTTGGGCTGGGTGCTGTAACGCTAAAACGCCGAGGTGCCATCGGTGTACGACGCAGGCAGCCGGGGCTGTAGAATGCTTAACCCCCCCCCCCTCCGCCCCTTGCATTTTAAAGCCTCTACATTTCAGTTGGGTGTGGACGGTGTTTGCTATAGCCGACGTTCAGAAACATTGAAAGATTATCTCGTGCATATAGTGGAGAGAGGCGCTGTGCAAAAAAGAAAATGGTTAACCCCCACCCCGCCCCTACCCCCCTTCCCTCCCTCCCTCCCAACCCACCCCGCGGTCCTCCATAAAGATCCGCGTTATGTAAAATGTATTTAATTATACGGTGGACAGTGGGTGCACGCGCACACACACACACACACATGCAAAACTGTGGCTGACAAAGGCGTCTTTTAATCCATCCTGGTGAATAATTGTCAAGGAGGAAAGCAAGATCGACAACAACAACAACGACGACAAGGCGTGCGTAGGAATCGATTAGCAAAGTAAAGTCCGAACGAATCTCCAGAGGCGACGAAAAATCATCGCAAAAAAAAATGATCACAGGCGATAAATCCATTTCCAGGACGGATCTTGAATGTTTAAAAAAAGAGAGAAAGAAAGAAAGTAGTGAAATTTGTGCTGATGTGCTATCGACCTTTTCTGACCACAGTGCTGTATTTCCATTGTGCCACTGCTTTAGTGGTTATAGCAGATTAGTGATACGAAAATAACACACAATATTTGCCTGTTCTTCTGACAGTCTTTTTTCCTGTGGTGATTTTACACTTCTGTCATGTAGTTTGAATGTCTTACCCATAAAAAAACCCCATCTCTGACTGTAACTTGCTTGTAGTAATCAAAAACGGCTTGAAATTTCACCATGGTGAGCACATTGGTCCTTGCTAAATTATACATATGGGGAAAAAATAAACCTTAAGTTTTGCTTTTTAGTTCGAGCCTTACACAGCTAAACTTTACTAAGGGCAGTTTAAGAACATAAGATGAGCTTTTACTGCGGTTTCAGTTTTAGTGCAGCATGTTTGTATCAAGATATTTTGTCCAAGAGTTGGTGTTTTCTTTACGTGTTAATTCATCTTGTGGTTTGATGACTCAAGAGGAATAAACAGTACTGTATGTTCACGCGCCCGCGCACAGTGGATCTCGTGCAGACCGAACTCGCGCCGTTTGTCCGCGTCCCTCCCGAGAGGCAGGGCAGCCGGGTCGGCGGCGAAAACGCCGATCGTCGCCGATCGCCGCGGCAAAACGCCGATCGCCACCACGACGGCAAAACGGCGATCGCCCCACCATCGCGGCAAAACGACGATCGCCCATCACCGTGGTGAAACGGCGATTGTCTCCGCCGCAGTGAAACGGCGATCGCCCCATCACCGTGGTGAAACGGCGATCGTGTCACCACCGTGGTGAAACGGCGATCGCCCCACCATCGTGGTGAAACGGCGATCGCCCCACCACCGTGGTGAAACGGCGATCGTGTCACCACCGTGGTGAAACGGCGATCGCCTCACCATCGTGGTGAAACGGCGATCGCCCCACCACCGTGGTGAAACGGCGATCGTCTCACCACTGTGGTGAAACGGCGATCGCCCCACCATCGTGGTGAAACGGCGATCGCCCCACCACCGTGGTGAAACGGCGATTGTCTTCGCCATGGTGAAACGGCGATCGCCCCACCATCGTGGTGAAACGGCGATCGCCCCACCACCGTGGTGAAACGGCGATCGTGTCACCACCGTGGTGAAACGGCGATCGCCCCACCATCGTGGTGAAACGGCGATCGCCCCACCACCGTGGTGAAACGGCGATTGTCTTCGCCATGGTGAAACGGCGATCGCCCCACCACCGTGGTGAAACGGCGATCGCCCCACCACCGTGGTGAAACGGCGATCGCCCCACCACCGTGGTGAAACGACACTTTTCACCGCCGCAGCAGCGAAACAGCACACGCCACCGCGGCCACAGGTCATTGTCGCCGTCCTCGTAATTGTCCCCCTTGTCCGTCTCGCCCCCTCGCTTGCAAACCGACCAGGGTACTCGTGGATTGACAGACTGACATGCAGATGCCCTCCCTACTGCCCTACCGTGCCCCCCATCACCCCCTTTTTTTTTTTGCAAGTGCATGAATGCCCTTCGGGTGTTTAATTGGGTTGGATGGTGAAATGACCTCACATTGACGATAGATATTTAACGACTACCAGTATATTATGGGCACTTTACAATTCGTAGGATTGTGCTGTTCAAATAAAAACAACTCAAACGTGACCGTTTCCGCATTCAGGATTCACTGGATCCTCGGAACTGGAGCCCCTTCCCCCCCTCAAAGGTCAGACGTGATGCAAACCCTTTTGTGGGGGCTCACCGCGCTAGCCTGGCGAGCGAGCGTGGGGGGCCGGGTTGAAAGGGGGGGGGGGGTAGTTTGAATTTCTCACCCGAGTATCTCTCGTCGTGTTTCGGTGTTGTTACCCCCCCCCCCTTCGCCTGGGGTATTTTCTATGGGGCACGATGTCAATACGTTGCGCTCCACGTGCCGGGAACGAAGCCCCCCCCCCCCCGCTCCACCAGCACCTACCGGGAGCGAAACGTCGGGCGTCTGTGACGAAACACTTTTGGCGACGCAGCCCGCGACAGCACAACCGCGGAAACTTTCGCGCGCAGGAATAATTCTCACTAAACCATGCCGTGGGTCGTCTGGGAGTGCGTGTGGCATACGACGACTGCTCGCCACAGGCATATCGCAAGAGGTTTTGTCCTAGATGTGCTCCCGGAATGTTCTCAGGGTCGGGCCGATTGGCACAGAGACGCAGCTGAAATCCAAGCCCTGATTGGGGCCCACTTGATAAGATCAGGATTTGCATTTATAGGCCCAGTCACCTCCATCTCTTGAAGTCTCTCCTCGGCAACTCGCAAGGACCTCGCATCACATCTCACCTGCGGCCTGGCCAAGGGGAGCCCCCACCGCCCATTGGCAGCTGTCCCTGTGCAGCGCAGGGTGTACCCAGCAAGGACGTGGAGCCGGGGTGACTCGCAAGGGCCGGTGGTGGATGTGGCTCTGAAGGGTCTCCTCGTGAGTTGTTGGTCTGGCTCCCCCTCGCCATGCTGCACGCAGCTGGGAGTCCCACCGCAACTTGCGACGCTCGTCGTCGCCGCTGCCACGACTTGATATTGTCAGCACGCATCCCACGCGGTGCGTCTTGAGGTGCCCCGCAATAAGAAACGTCTGTGCCTAAGCAGCACAGCGGCAGTTGTACACGCTCGCCCACCCGCTTTCCCACCCGCTCGCCCACTTGCCCACTCGCTCGCCCACTTACTCGCCCAGCCACTTACTCGCCCAGCCACTTACTCGCCCAGCCACTTACTCGCCCAGCCACTTACTCGCCCACCCACTTACCCACTCGCCCACCCACTTACTCGCCCAGCCACTTACTCGCCCACCCACTTACTCGCCCACCCACTCGCCCACCCACTTACTCGCCCACCCACTTACCCACTCGCCCACCCACTTACTCGCCCACCCGCTTACCCACTCGCCCACCCACTTACTCGCCCAGCCACTTACTCGCCCACCCACTTACTCGCCCACCCACTTACCCACTCGCCCACCCACTTACTCGCCCAGCCACTTACTCGCCCACCCATTTACCCACTCGCCCACCCGCTTACTCGCCCACCCACTCGCCCACCCACTTACCCACTCGCCCACCCACTTACCCACTCGCCCACCCACTTACCCACTCGCCCACCCACTTACTCGCCCAGCCACTTACCCACTCGCCCACCCGCTTACTCGCCCACCCACTCGCCCACCCACCTACCCACTCGCCCACCCACTTACCCACTCGCCCACCCACTTACCCACTCGCCCACCCACTTACTCGCCCACCCACTTACCCACTCGCCCACCCGCTTACTCGCCCACCCACTCGCCCACCCACTTACCCACTCGCCCACCCACTTACCCACTCGCCCACCCACTTACTCGCCCAGCCACTTACTCGCCCACCCACTCGCCCACCCACTTACCCACTCGCCCACCCACTTACCCACTCGCCCACCCACTTACCCACTCGCCCACCCACTTACTCGCCCACCCGCTTACTCGCCCACCCACTCGCCCACCCACTTACTCGCCCACCCACTTACCCACTCGCCCACCCACTCACCCCCTCGCCCACCCACTTACTCGCCCACCCGCTTACTCGCCCACCCACTCGCCCACCCACTTACCCACTCGCCCACCCACTTACCCACTCGCCCACCCACTTACCCACTCGCCCACTTATCCACTCGCCCATCGCTTGCTATTTATACGATGCCTCCCATGCAGAACACCTTGGGACAGCATCGAGGTAGGGAATCCCCAGTGACAGCTCTCTGGGACAAGGTGACTGCAGCAGTGATGACCAGACGGCGGGGGGGGGGGGGGCTTCATCCAGCAGAGGATAGACCATGTCCGATTATTTCAGGCAGTGCCACCCAGGGGTTGGTGAAGGTCCGGGGGAGCGGGGGGCCCTGCGCGCCACGGTGACTAGGAGATGTTAACTACCTCGCCTGGTATCCAGGAGGTCGTGGGTTCGATCCAGACCCTGACGCCTGCTGCTGTATATTTGGAGTTTGCGTGCCTCTCTCATCATCACGGTGGCTAGGAGATGTTAACTCCCTCGCCTGGTATACAGGAGGTCGTGGGTTCGATCCCGACACGTGTACAGTATATTTGCATGTTCTCTTCGGGTCGTCCGGTGTTTCGGTGCACGTTTAGAATCAACATCACGCGTTTAGAGCATTTGGCTGCTGTATATTCCCATGTGATGATGATGATGATGAGCCACTTCGTTGAGCTCTCATTTGTGGCCAGGTCGCTTCTGAAAAAGAGCTACATAGCCCAGTGGGCCTTTATCTGGTAGAACAAAAGTAGTTTTGTTTGCTGTGCTACAATCAGTGCACAATATTGCTATGTGGCTTCCCAATTAAGTAATTTGCGAGTATGATAATTGGGTTTTTTACCCTTCTATCTGGCAACAAAACTGACACCTTTTTTTACGAGGAGTCATGTTTGCATAGACCGCAATACCTGCGGTCAGAATGCAAACAATAAACATAACTCTGATAATGTATGCACTGTCCTTCGAAGTTAATTGGTCCACACCCGAGACAGCTTTCCTTAGAGCCTAGTCTCACATGGGTTGGACCAGATGACGCCAAAAGGCGCAATTATCATATTTTGCTACTGGCAAATGAGGTTCCAATGGTGAATTTGCGGGTAATTATAAAATTTAGACCGCGCCACCTGCACACGTGTCCTATTTAATTTTTTAAATGATGGCCCAGGATTTTAAACGTCAGCTGTGAAGCAGATCGCGTGTGTGTTTACTGCGTTATTCTATGTTACAGTTGACACCTGTGGTTAATACACCTGGAGTACTAGTCGTGGTATTAACCAGGGCAGTTGCTGTGCTCAAACCGCAGTCCTCTGCAGCAATCAGCGGCGAGCATGCTGTGGTTCGGCCATGCATTATAGTTCAGTTTCAATGTAAGAGTAGTGGTGGGGTTTGCGTTGTTTAATGTTGGAACAAACAAGGGATCAGAGATCCCAGTTCTTGTGGCTCAAACAACAACAACAACCATTCCGCCACTAATTGACGGTGACGTCACCACGACGCTTGTGCCAGGCTATGTGCACGTTCAGGCCACGTGCAGTGTCGAACGCCCGCTGGCAGGAGGTCACGGGGCAGACCCAGGTGCCACGGGTCGACTGACTGAGATGACCGGCCGATGCACCACCTGTGCACCCTACTGTGCCAACTTGCTGTGCTTTAGCCACCCGGCGCTCCGCTCGTTGTTGTGAGCGTCGCTCCTCCGCCCTCCGTTGTTGCTGGAGGGCGACTGCCTCCAACTGCACAGCAGCGTCCTTCACGGGGGTGGGGGTGGTGGTGGGGGGGGGGTGCCCACGGATGAAGGTCACGTGGCGCCACGTCCTGCGCCTGCTCCATATAAGGAGTCGCGCCTGCCACGTGGCTAGGACACGCCCGCTGCGGGACGTCATCATTTAAATGCCCCTCTCGCCCCGCCCTCTCGCCCCCCCCCCCCACCGCCCCACACGTGGTTTGGAGATGGGGAGTCTGGGT